TTGTCAAAGTAGAAATGAGTTTAATACTAAGCAAAATTGTCATCACCTCAATTAGACCTGATTTGGTTTCTGCCTACTGTCAATGCAAACTTGTTTCCACATCCGGCTAACGTGAGGATTGATTAATTTAAACGCACTGTCTCCAAACTTTTCAAAGAGCGACTAACAACGTTAGTGATTACTATCCCTGAGTGCTTACAAGTCGACACTCGTCGTCTCGGATTCAGCAGGAGTACAATCACTCTTCTGGTCACTGGTCATCTAATCATTTCAAATTCATGGCCTCGTTTTGTGGGAATATATGCATAACCTCCTGCAGTAAAGTACTGCAATTTAAAGTTCAAAATTCTTGACAAAATGCGAAGAACAAGTAATGCCATTCACAGAGCCATGTAACATCTTCCAATGTTTTTAATTTTTGTAATATCGAAGTACTACTTTGGGGAACTTTCTTGAATATTGGCATTTCAGTTTCCTTAGAGTGTATTTTTTTATAAGGCAGGCTTTCCTTAAACGAATTAACTATTTATTTATATCAAATGGCAGGCGTTTTGATAGTTATCATTAGCCCTGGAGCTGACTTCGGGGCTTCACAGAGGGGAAGGAACATCAAAGTGAAAGCAAGCCGAGAGGGGAGGGGAACAGAAGAGTGATTCACAGATGTAGAAGAGACAGACAGACAGACACAAAGGTAGAAAGAAAATAGTAAGATGAGCACTGTCGAAGGGGTCGAATATGACATACAGTGGGGGGTGATGGTAGTTTGAAGTCAGAAGTCAACGACCGATTGATAGACTTCTATCGTAAGAGTATACGTTGCCCAGGGTGCACCACGTGGAGGAAAGTCTCTCGCGCACCCCGTTTAAACAAACCATCTAATTACTGAAATTGTCCAATAGGTAGTAACGAGGAGAGATCAGATACTTGGCTAGGGGAATTCTCCTCTTGAGTCTTCAATTTCTACTCCCAAGGTAAATTTCAACACCTTTATTTTTTATGAGCTCAAGGTTTATCATCTCACTCTTGGGTTCTTAGGCATTATGGTATCATTGTACAATGCCTTTTTAATAATTGTCAAAATAGGGGGATCAGCTATCCTTATTAATCTTATCTCCCTGATCTGAGCCTGAACTACACTGAAGGAGAACTAACTTCATCCACCCACAGGCTTTATTCTCTCATAAATATAACCTCGCTCCCAATTTCATTAGTACATAAGAGTAGGTTTAACATTGCGAATTCTGATATTCATCGAAGTAATTTCGGGATATTCTTTTAATGTTGTGTTTGTTTGCGAATGGAAGGAGGTGAAATTGAGGTGAAATAACCTATTTCATTTATTGCTTACTTATTTGTCTGTTCTTACCCTTTCCAGCTCACTGATCAAGAAGCAGCAGCCGACGAAGCCATTGAAAGGCTCTGTCTTCGATGTCATAATCTCGAGACTCGCTTGGCTGAAGCTCAGTCAGCAATGTCTGTTTCCACCTCTGGTCCAAATGGTTGTAACGGTGGGGATGGAAATGACCACTCTCCACCTCGAACTCCGACGCCTGAAAACGGTGGAAGGGGTCGATTGAGTCCGGTGTTGGAACAGGGCGAAGATACTGAGGAGACGGAATGTGAGCAACAAATGACTAATGGGATCAAATCAGCCGATACCGATTCCGGAGATCTGCAAGCGAAGTATTTCTCCCTCATTGAACTCTATGAAGCTGCCATCAAAAGGTGAATTCAACTCGATTATTATTACAATTTTTTTTGAAAATGAAGGCTCATGCATATAATAACCCAGCGCATTTCCGTTAATTGAAAATTAATTATTCTAAAACTTTTTTTTATTTTCTACTTTTTGCTGTTTTCCTGTTATTTTGACATTTATTCCAATTATAGGACTTAGTTCATGTACTTACTCTATGTGATTAAATGCTATAACCAAATTTAACTAATCTCATATTCGGAAGAATCTTCAATCTCTGATTATATGTAATTATCGATTCGAAAGTAATCACTGTCATTGGTTTTATTATTTACTCTTCATTAAGTCTGCTAGTCATCGATTAGCGTTTTTTTGGGGATATGAAAATTGTGGAGAATTTTATAAAATTGGTTTCCACGCCTTTTTAAGTGCTCATTAGGTTCTTTGCGGTATTAATTTGTGTGTAACCCCAATACATATACAATAGCCAACCCTGAACTTTTGAAGTTAATGAACTGTAAGCGGATCCTGAAAATTTTGTTACTTAAGCGGGCAGCCTGGGTATAGTTTATGAGTTGGGCATTTATTAATGGCTTTGCCATCTCTCCACTCTTGATTGATTCACTTGAATTGGAAGTTCAGTAAGTAGCATAGGCGCAAAGTTGTGTTATAGTGTTGGACAAAGTTAGGCTAAGAGAGATCGCTTCTTCATTTGACGGCATTTTTGTTGTAGTTTCCAGTGCTTGGCTTGTTATCTCCTGTTGCCTACGAAAGTACCGTAGAATTAATTCCTTTTTTCCCGCAATCGTATCTGTGCAACTAAACTACTCGCGTAGTTTGATTAGTTTAATGTAAGCAAATGCTATCCATAAATCAGTTTGCGCATTGCGGGAGAATGCTTATCTAATTATTTAATTTTTGTTTGACGCAGTAGATTGATACACTCTAGTTCTCATGTGGCATAATTAACTAGAAGGGGGGATTACTTTTGCCTCTGAGTCAACTTCCGAAATTTCAGTCACTTTTTTGTCTAACATTCTTTCCGTTCCTCCTTCCCCTCCACTCCACTCCACTTCTTTCCCCTTTCTCCTACTATTGAACCACATGACCGGTTAGTCGGTTATTTTGGCGATTTCGATATTAGTACCATCAACTGTGTCACCATCAGTGCATGTCTAACTTATCCACTATTTCTTTACCATTAGCATTTAAGACAAGATTATAGCCGCCCTCATTTGAAGGCTTCCTTACAGCAAATTAAATTGTTTGCACTTATAGGGTACAGTCATTGTTTGGCCACCCATTTCATTGTAGAATACGTCTGATAAACTGTTTGTACATGGGTGGTTGTAGTTGGTGAGATTGTATGGAATGAAAGATATAATTTATGTCTGGGCCCCGGGATGTGCGGTAGAATTACCTCCACGTGGTGCTCCCTGGGCAACATATACACATACGGCGAAAAAGTCTATAAGTAGACAGTTGACTTCTGACTTCAAACTACCATCACTCCCACTGTATGTCGTATTCCACCACTTCCAAAGTACTCACCCCATCTTTTTTCTGCCTATGTGTCTGTCTGTCTCTTTTACATCTTTGAAACACTCGTCTGTCCACCCCCCCCCCTCCCCACCTCTCGACTTTTATTCACTTTGATGTTCCTTCCCCTCTGTGAAGCCCGAAGTCAACTAATGCACTAACGAAAACTGTCAAGATGCCTGCCATTTGATATAAATAATGTCTGCGTCCCAATTAATCAAGCTTCTCCGGTGGGTATCGATCTATCGATCGGCAAGTAGCATGGTCGATATTCATAGGGTGGTACATCCTATGATCTAGGCAGCCAATAGCAATGGTCAATTTTGTAATCGGATCTGGTGGTAAAATGTGAGCTTTTCACGCAACGCAAGTCAAGTGTTTGCTGACACTTGCCAAAATGTGCTTTAGGAGAAGTTGTTGTACTTCCCTATTCATTTGCCATTGGCACTAGAGTCTTAAGTAGTGGATCTAAATAAAGATTGAATGCTGAAGCGTAGTCATTGCTGAATCTTTTAATGGCCGTAGTTATTCCAGTATTTGGTCTTTTATTTTTCCAAGTGCAAAAGATGGTCGTTGCTGTTACTTGTATTTTTTTTTCTAACAGTCGCATTCAGTGTTTGTTTGAGTTGTTTCCTCTTTGTCTTGCTAACATTGATTAAGTTACTTTGGCTTTAAATTGCCATAGTTGTCAGTTGTTTTCATCGCACCACCACCAACACCACCGTTGAATCGGGACTAGAATCTCGTTGTGTAACAATACGTTCAAGTTACTGCTCTACTCATTAAGATCTTGGAATGCAAGTAGTTATGCGTTTGTATGCTTACTCTACATCAGTTTTAATTCCCAATTACTTCGCATTTCGATTTATATGCGGGGTTTGGCTTGTGCCCTCTCTCTCCCCCCCCCCTTAAAATGCCTCTTCCTAATTAGCATAGTGCCCTCACCGCCCCGCCCTCTCCCTCCATTTCATGCATTTTTATGTGATCGACACTCACGTTGATAATTATTCTAGAGCAAAATGTGTTTTTTTTTCATGTTTATGATTTTCACGCTGTGTGACGATTATCCACCACGACATTTCCCTATTTTGGTTCGTTGGCAGAACAGAGAGTGGGGGAGGAGGGGGGGAGGGTGGGTGGGTGACAGGTTTGCTGTTATTTGATCTGAACTCTTTTGACTCACTCCTAGAACTGTTTGCTTTGCGGTCAAATGTTTAAGTTTATTTTATTTTTTTTCAATCCCTGATGCCTAATTAAAGGTGCTTCCAATTAAGCAACTAAAACGCATGGAAACTAACCTCCATGCATCCAGGTTTCCTAGTTACCTGTGTGCTCTTCTATGGAATCGTAGGCCGTGAGTTCGACGTCTAACCAGCCAACAAATTGACCAACCGCATCATTTAAACTGTAGCTAATTGACAGAAATGGAGATTCCACAGAGTCATCGTTCTCCCGAAGAGGAGTTTAAAAGGTTGACTTTGAGGTTACCGAGAAGATTAACGGTGTAGACTTTACCGTATACCTCGCTCGTTTTGCATTTGCAATGTAGAGTTTTTGTGTTTTTATATATGTGTTTACTATGCCTTCCAATACCTTGGCCGTATAAATGGATGTTTAGTGTGTTACGAAGCACATGGGGTATATCGTTATTCAATTTGGTTTGGACCCTGTAACACCTCCCATTCTAATTCGGCTTGTTGCCTGTTCCAATCCTAGCTAACCTGAATGTCGCCACAACCATCGATCACGTGGAATGCAGCATTGAAGTTGCGCGCAATAGAAATTGAACAGCTTAGTGTTCTAAATATTTATTCATATTTTTTCCGTTGAAGTGATCACGTAGTTTTACTCCTGGCCAAATTCATTCTTGATTTTATCCACCAAGTCATTTCCTTTTATTTGTTTGTTTGTTTCAAGCTAGCAAGAGAAAATAAAGGTGTTTGGAAAGTGCGTTGTTGCATTCCAATGCTGCATAATTATTTCTTGCCTTCTGTTTCGACGGAAGGTGTGGCTACCTGAAGTTTTTTGCCTTCACATAGAACGTCTGGCTGCATTTGAGATGATTAAAGAGCGCGCCCCAATTACCAAACCAAGATATCTAAAGGTCATATTTTGGCTATTAGCATCTACTTTAGGGGGTTGAAAATTGTCGGTTATTTATAAGGTGAATGGCAATTATCATCTCAGCATTTCTTTTTCATTCATTTATATGACTTTTACTTAAATCTTGCTCAAATGGATTTTAATAATGTTTATTTCAAATGGCAGGCGTTTTGGTAGTTATCATTAGGCCTTTAGTTGACTTCGGGCTTCACAGTAGGGAGGAACATTAAAGTGAGAAGAATTCGACGGGAGAAAAGAAGAGCCATTTACAGATGTAACAGACAGACACAAAGGCAGAGAAAAGGCTAGATGAGTACTGTGAAGGGGTCGAATATGACATGCAGTTGGGCCATGGTAGTTTGAAGTCAGAAGTCAACTGCCTGTTTAGACTTTTTTGCCGTATGAGAAAATGTTGCGCAGGGTGCACCACGTGGAGTTAAATCTACCGCGCACCCCGATTTTAGTAATTTAGTACTATATTACAGATTTTAGTAATGTAGTAAGTGTCTTGAAATTAATCTTTCTTTGTTATCCTATCGAGGAATATCTTATTCCTCAAAAAGCGCTGACCATCTTTTAAGGTTGGCTAGTCTAATCTTTCCTTATTGATTTATTTGTCAACTGGGGGTGTGGGTGAGGGGGGGGGAAGAACCTGAAGAGCAAAAATTTGTTAAGAATGTGTGAAGGTTACTTTTTTCGTCTTTTCGACCAATGAGATTAGAGCAAAAGCACGAGGAAGAATTTAGCTATGGGGAAAAATTTTTTTCCTGAAATTCGACAATTTCTCGTGACAGTAAAGCGTTTAATTGTGACTACTTAAACGTAAATGTACTCCTTATTTTTTTTTCTTTGTAAATATTTGCTAAACTATTAACCATATTTAAGTGTTTGTGGCTTCGTTGTTTCTTATNTTCGTGCATACCTCCTGCGATATTGGCCATGGTGAAAATTGATCCAATTTGAAGTCTAATTTCATGGCATAGATCCTCTTTACCATATAGGCACAGATGAGCTAGTGGTATGAAAAGATGACCATCATCTAAATGGAAACTTTACACGCACACAGTGAAAGAGGCTCTTTTGAATTCTTTTTCCAATCTTCCATTTGCTCTTAATTGAATTTGCAGCTACTTAGTCTCAAAGAAGAAGAAGAAGAAGGAAAAAGGAAGATGAATAGGGAAAACGATTATTTTTATTAATATTAATAAATTTACCTCTATGGGTTGGGCTAGTCGGTAAATGATTGACTCTCTCTCTCCCTCTCTCGGCTTAGCGACTAATTGCAGTGTCGGTGTCCTCGCAATGTGTGAGCGTGGGAGTTCAATGATCGATAATACCTGTTCATGAGAGAGAGAGAGAGAGAGTTGAAGGCCATCTAATTAATGAATTGTCGGTAAAACTTTTTTTCTCCAAACCAAATGTTGTTAGAGCTATATTTTTACTTCCGCTTTTAGGAATACTTATTTATTTATTTATATCAAATGGCAGGCTTTATGATATTTATCATTAGCCCTTTAGTTGACTTCAGGCTTCACAGAGGGAAGGAGGAACATCAAATTGAAAAAATTCGAGAGGGGGGGGGGAACAGAAGAGTGTTTCAAAGATGTAAGAGACAAACACAAAGTTAGAACAAAGGTTAGGTGAGTACTGTGGAAATAGTCGAATATGACATACAGTGGGGTGATGGTAGTTTGAAGTGAGAGGTCAACTGCCAGTTAATAGACTTTTTGCCGTATGAATATACGTTGCCCATGGTGCACCACGTGGAGATAAGTCTATCGCACACCCCCTTTTAGGAATACTTGGTTTTATTTTAACCACGTATTTAAATTACAAATCGATTGGTTTCAGTGGCTAGAACTCTTAGTTTGTACGCATATTCTTCGACTTAGTTGACACGGGAAAACTGCCTTAGATTCCCTGCTTTTTGGAAAGTCATGAACCGGGATTTAGCTTAGCAAGATTCCACTGTCTCAGCTTCCTTCTTTTTGCTCTATATCAATAAATGTCTTTTTTGTTCTTTCGCCGTGAATTTTGTATTACTTTTCATCCATCCATCCATCCCTCCATCTATCTAGGATCATAACTTTACTGCGATATTGCTATTTGGATTGAGTTTTGGCGTACCCTAACCGTGGGAATTCAAAGATTCAATCATTGTGCATTTGCACTCTAATTAGTCAATTGTTACTTGCTTGCCTGTTTTTTTTTTAATTTCATTAATTTTTCCTCCACTTTCTTTGCAGACTTCGGAACTTGAATACGATTCGCTGACAGATGAAAGAGGAGGTAGGTTACTTCTTTTTTTTCGGAAGTTAATTTCCCTCCTTAATTGAATGTGTTTTTTTATAACTGGTTTACGTGTCCGTAGTGATGCCCCCATCTTATCAAATCTTCCCCCCCCCCAAACCTCTCCCATCTCATCTAATTCTAATCATGATAGCCACCTGTCACTTTATTTTTAATCACCTCTATCAAACTTATCAAACAATAATTAGATTACGGGGAAGAAGACGGCTGGCAAACGGTTGTTCGTCGACCTCGAAATGAGCCTCTGGTAACTTTGCTAGCACCCATCTAATCGCCTTCTCTATCCTATTCGTGATTCTTTCTATTCTAATTGCATGTGTACACACGTACATATTATCTACATAGTGTTTACTTTTAATCAACGCGATTGCTATGGCGTGTGGCATGTGATAGACGGCGAAAGGTATTTAATTTGCAATCTAAACATGCACTTTAAGTAAGTGTCCTAATGTTTGAAGTTAGATTTTGTCATTAATATTCAAATCGGGTTTTAATGTCCTTGGGGTTTTTTGTTTTATATATTTTCATACTAGTTTCGAGTATTACGATGTGCTGAATTGACTTGAATGTGTGTCACCATTTCGTTCTAATTGGCTTAGATCCAATGGAATATGCTGAGGTTTCCAGAGTCTTGTCCAGAGCACACATGGAAGTGCTTGCCGTTTCTCCAATTTTGGAATACCCTTGGCAGCGTTGAGTCATCTTCATTGCTGTCCTATATTTAGAATTGATCATTTATTTATTTAAATTGACTAAAACGTAATTTATCTTCTCCTTTTTCATAAAGCTAAGTCAAATACGAACGAATCTAATTCAATCGTTTGTTTGGACGCATTGCTTGGCTACATCAAGCTCTTTGTTAGTTAACCCCACCTATTGTCGAGCGCACAACTTTTACTAGGCATCCGAAATGTAACCAAAGATTAGTAATGTTTTGTTAATAGAACACAGTTGCTACTTCTATCCCAGCTACCGTTCTTCAGACGCGCTTATACCCTTCGAAATTCCCATCAGATTGCGTAGAATTCATAGTGGATTGGCCGCTGTTCATAGTTTTACATCGCTTGTTTGGTAAACAACGATGCGTGTAGAGTTTTCGTTTAGTTAACAAGTTGAGAGTACGTGAACTTACCTTGGTAATCAAATTACGTGTTTATTCGTTCTAATCTGCTCGGTTCAAAGCTGGTGATTGTTGCATTGTCTAACCTTTTTGCATTATCCTGGCATGAGGCAGTTATGATATCCACCTACCGCATTCGATTATTTAAATTCTAATTCCCCCCTCCCTCTCCCCTCCCCTTGTTTAGCCATCTCCAGTGATGACCGACGAGCGATCGATAGCAGCCCCACCGCTGCGCCCACACCCAGACCCCGCTCTACAAACTTCCTCCCAGTCTCCTCCTCCTCCTCCTCCTCTCGAAGTGGTGACAATGGAGGAATAGCAGTGATTCCTACTGGTCAAAATGAGAGCCCTGATGTTACCGCGCCGCCTCCGAGACCTCCGAAACCTGTCATGTCTGGTAAGGAGAGATGCCTTAACACTCTTCGCCTACCTATTGCAAATTTCACTTCATGTTTATCTTTCCGGTGACCCTTCTCTACGAGTAGCTTTTGAGTATTCAATTTTATTAATAGTTTCCTTGTCTTGTGTTGAGTTCTGCGAGTGGCATTAACTGCCAATATCAATCGTGAAAGTTTCGCAACCTTCGACCGATAACTCAGCCTATTAACTTACTTGAATTATAGAGGGCTTGATTTTAATAGAATTTGTTATTCGCTTTTAAGCTTCCCTTTGGCCCATTATTAAACAATTATTTTTCCTGCATACTTCACGATTAGTGAGAACTTATGAGGAAATGTCTTCTTATCGCTCGGTGCGTATTAATTGACCTCTAACTTTGTAATCTACAGAAACTTGAAACCTTAATCATTTCATCAGAAATCGGAGTATTGTTAGATGCTAATCTTGAGTGATTAAAGCGGTTTCCAATTTGTTTCAAACCGAAGCACTTAGATAATTTGTTTATTGATGACTCAACGCTTACCCTCTCAATGCGTTAAATTTCATCAGAAATGATTTATACTTAATTAACTGAGTTTTATCTGTTTCTTGAATCCCGTTAAATTATTGGGTGGATAAAATTTGTCTTGGAAAGTGCGTTGCTTTTGGTGATTTGGTTGTTAGACATCTTTAAACAAATTTTTTTCATTCCGCCATTTAAAATTTTATACTTACTAAGTTTTGTTCAATATTTTTTTTAAGAAAGACAAACAAGTTTTTATTTCATAATTGCTTCCTTCAATTATATAAACTATTATTTTATTGAACTTATTTGTTTATATCAAATGGCAGGTGTTTTGATAGTCATCATTAGCCCTTTAGTAGAATTCAGGCTTCACAGAGAGGAGGAAGAATATCAAAGTGA